GTGTGTGTGTGTGTGTGTGTGTGTGTGTGTGTGTGTGTGTGTGTGTGTGTGTGTGTGTGTGTGTGTGTGTGTGTGTGTGTGTGTGTGACACTGTCCTCGTGGGTATAAACAAGATTAACAGGAATGCACTCATCTCAGCAAAACACATACATCATGTAGCTGAGTGAAATATACAATATTTTGCTTTGAAATATAACAGAAATTGTTCAGTTAGATCCCTTTTATTTCTATAGCACCACTTCACAAAAACAATTAACTCTGCAAATGGTGCAAACTAGAGGAGAAAGTACACATAAGTTGATGGCATGCAGTAGTGGTACATTTACACATGGGGAGTAAATAGAGGAGAGGGGAGGAGAGGTGCTCAGGGCATAATCCCAGTAGTCTGAGCCTATAGCAGGATAACTACAGAGTGGTTCAGGGTACAGTTCAGTACCATTCCATAGCACTTTATTTATAAGGCACTTTTAAAACAATAACAGGGCTGACCAATGTGCTGTACAATAACACAAAATATAAAAGACAAACACATGACAGAAGGTAAAAGATGTAGAAAAACAAAAGAGCTGTTGAAGTTAAACAAGAAACAAGTACATAAATGTAACATAGACATCTCACACTGGGTCGAAGGCCAGGGAGTAAAAGTGTGTATTTAAATGAGATTTCAAAAACGGTGAGCGAAGGAGCATGCTTCACATGCAGTGGAAAATCATTCCACAATTTTGGAGCCACAACTGCAAAAACCCTGTCACCTCTGAGTTTACGTTCCGTCTTTGGAATAAGCAAAAGCATCTGGTCTGCTGACCTGAGAGAACGAGGCGGGACGTAAAGGTGCTCCAGCTCGGACAGATCTAATGGGGCACAACCATTAAGAGACTTAAAGACAAATAAAAGGATTTTAAAATGAATTCATAAACGAATTGGAATCTAGTGAAGGGACGCTAAAATTGGAGTGATGTGCTCTCACTTGCTTGTGCCAGATAAAAAAATTAGCAGTGATGTTTTTTGCACCAGCTGATTACGATGAAAGGTGCATGATAGTAATCGAGACGAGAAGCTATAAACTCATGTATTAATGTTTCAAGGTTGAGTTTGGCTAGAAGAGACTTGACCTTTGACAGTTGCCTCAGTTGGAAAAAGCAGGATTTTAACACTGCATTCACATGAGGATTGAGAAGTAATAAATGCATGAACTAGTTTTTCAGTGTCACTCTGAGACAGGATAGACAGAATTTCAGAGATATTGCACAAATGAAAGAAAGCAGTCCTGTATATTTGTTATAACAATAGTGTATGCTAGTGTAAGTAGCAGAAACTCGAAACTATGTAAACTAAGTAAATGAAGCACAAGTATCCAAGATTTCTACATAAACATACTGGCAGTAAGTGTTTCGTAACACAAATAAACCTTTAGAGTGAAGTATTACTTCAAAGGCGCTCTTAGACTTGGCCTGGAGATGTCATTAGTGAATAAAATCATTGCTCTTTAATTACTTTCTTTGAGTTCTATTTTAGAAGCAGCTTGATTGCAGCAATTGCATTTTCAAGCAGATGTAGTGATGCTGATGACTGACAGCAGATCTGAGAAGGATGGAACAAAATAAATAGAATATGTTGAAGGTAAAACCCGAGGTTTGAGTACATCTAGTAGTTTAGTAGCTTGTTTGTTCAGTCACAGATGCCCATTTCAATCCTGCTTAAGACATTTCACAGTCTTTCCTGATTGCCAATCTGAAATCTGATTTAAATGTTTGAAAAGGCACTCGACTCTTTCGAAGAGTTTCTGTTATTCTTGTCATGTACTTAAGTTATTTACTGCTTTCACATATCCCCTCTCTGGCATTATTAAGGTTTCATTTCATCTTACTTCATCTTCTTTAATCTGATTCCTTCTGCCTACACAGTGGGTGTTTTACTAAGAGTCTGTGTGTCTCCTGCGCACGCAAAATGTGTGAATCTACTGAGCAGTATGATGTCATTGCTATCTTGGCACGACAAACCTGTCTGCGCAGTCCAAACAATTATCTCCTCTAAGTGGAGTAATTAAAACAACAATATTATTATTTATCCCAGTAAGAGAGAGTTGGAGGCAATTAAAGTCACGTCTTAAGAAGCCATGGACACTCAAATAAGACATAATGAGACGTAACAAATCTTTTCATCTGTAGTTATAAAAATGTTTAATGGATTGAAATGGAATCTTGCCATGCTGTCACTGAAATTCAAACTATGTACTGTCAGAAAAGTAACAACTGGATGTGATGAGGGTTTAATGGTTTTTTTAATACATTTAAGATAGAACCGTCAACAGCTTTAACTTTAAAGCTGATGATAGTCACAAAGTTTCTACATTAAAATTCAATCAAAGTTGCTTGAGTCCTTGTGACCATGTGATTGCTGATAAATCAAAGGGGGTGCACTTCGGGATAGGAAGTAGCTTCTTAGCTTGAGATAAATCTGATACCGTTAAAGAAAGAAAAAAAGAGTAAAAATGTAAATTTTTAAAAAAGCTCTTCTTTGTTTAAATGTATATAACTGACGCAGATAAGCGATAACTTCAACTTGACATGAATTGTGCTTTAGTGGCAAATCTACGTTGTAACGATGGACACAGAACACATAGCTATGTTTACCACCTATAGGTATTATTAAAATTCAATCTTTCGATGCCTTAATCTTTCATATTACGTTCTTACAGTCCTTATTTTACAAAGATGGGGTTTGAAAGAAGTACAGTGGAACCCCATTTAACGAAAAATTCAAGTTACGAAGGGACTTAACGGCAATATTTCTGCCCGTGTTACGGCAAAATGCCCGTGTAACAAAATCCGCTGGCTCTGATTGGCTGAGCCCAGAATGCCTACAATGCCCACAATGCCTTCCGAATCATGTGACAACCCCCTTGGCTTTCGTACTTGCGCTTCGCTGTTCCACTTGAACGACGTATTGTTGTTGCAGTTAGAAATTAGCCTATAGCCTATCGTTCACTCAAAAGGCACGATGGGTGCTTCAGCTTACGAAAATTTTCAACTTACAAATTAATTTCGTAAGTCGGGGTTCTACTGTATCCATGATTGTGTTCTCCGATTACATGAGTATTTTCAGTATTTTCTATTCATTCTACATCCTTCTTGCTGCACATGGGTGCATCACTTGGTGTGCTTAACTTTTATACTCTTCTTTTTCTTTTGGAAACAAAATTTAGACATCAGTATTTGATTGTGGCTGTTTCTTCTTTATTTTGTTAGACCACAAATTATTTTCAGGCTTTGACAAGTACCTATCAATGGTTAGCAACATGGCTTCCTGTTAAAAGGGAGTTTTTCCTTCCCACTGTCGCCAAAGTGCTTGCTCATAGGGGGTCATTTGATTGTTGGGTTTCTCCCTGTATGTATTATTGTAGGGTCTACCTTACGATATAAAGTGCCTTGAGGTGACTGTTGTTGTGATTTGGTGCTGTATAAAAAAAAAGAAGATAGAATTGAATTGAATTTCTATTTTATAAACCAATGCAAAATTGAAAGAACCTCAGAGATGTATTCCTGTGATATGCTGTGGCTGTATGATGATGCTAAGTTGGTTAACAAGCAGACAAGTCTTACTGATGGAGTAAACATAAAGCTAGCTTTCTGTTTTGAAGCCCCTTTAAGCCTAAAGATCTCTTCACTGAGTATGTCATAGGTGTCAAACTCTGGCCCGCAGCTTAATTACATTTGGTCCGCGAAGCCATACCAAATTACTATCAGAGCTGGCCTACTGGTATTATACAGCTAATATATATATTTTTTAGTATTAAGCTTTGCTTGTTCCATATTCAGTTTTTCAGCAAAACATGTTTGAGTCCATAAGAAAAGATTCATTCTTATATCTAGAGAAATAAATATATTTCAATAAATATTAACGTTAGCCCGCGACTTTGTTCCAGTTTTGAATTTTGGCCCACTGTGTATTTGAGTTTGACACCGCTGGAGTATGTACTTGTACCAGATTAACCCTTGATCTGTCCTAACTCCTATTACTCTATTTTCTTTCTTTTTCTCTTTCCTCTGATAAAGCGGCTTTTTGCATCTGCCATGCCAGGTAATCAAAGATATCAGTCAGGCTCTCTGACATTAAAACTACACATATATATAGGCTATATCTATATATAGTTTTTTACACCCATTATAAAGAAGAAACACAATTAATTTCATAATAAAAGGTTAAATCAAAAAATGCTATAAAATGAGCTGTAAAGTAGTCCAATGTTTGCAATATATATATATATATCAAAATAAATTGAAAACATTTTTATACATAAAGTACATAAGTACATCCTAGTACATTAGTTTATTTGATTTTTTTACATAACTGACCAAGAACATATTTGATTGTGTTTAAAAAAAAATGTCTTCATATAAAGCTGATATACAATATATGACCTCATATTTCATAGTCATTTCCATGTTGATAAAAAAACAGAAAAAGTAAGGGCGCTTTTATAACCCCTGTAAATCCATTCAGTGAGAATCACAGGTACGAGATTAAGAGCCAAGTGTTAATCGGCACAGGGTATGGGGTGAGCTGCTTCATTCAAAGATCTGACATGTATGATCTTGACTTTGTTATTTGAAAGCTGTTCTGTCATCATGTTCAGATCTTATGAGAGCTCGAAGGCCCTCAGAATAAAAGGCTATGGATATTTTTTAGTCTGACCCAGGTTTAAAAGATTTCTGAATGATCTGAAATAAAGCATAAAATTATCTACAATTGACATAATTTTCAGATGAAATTAGCGGCAAAGTCAGCCCAAGAGTAGAGTGTTTGATGCAAAAATAAAAAATCTCCAGAAACCTTCAAATTGTGTTACGGCGTCTGCAGGCAACGACTGGAAGAGATGTCAAAGTTCATATATCTGCAATCAGAAAGAGACTGCACAAGTTTGACCTGCGTGTGAAGCATACCAGAAAAAGTCTTTGCTATCCAAAAAGAACATCAGAGCAAAGCTCTGCTAGTCTGAGGCTTTTTCAAGCAATATGCTTTGAATGGACTGTTAAAGATAGAACTGTTTAATCGACAGGAACAGATTTTATGAGGATGAGAAGAAACTCATGCCAGCTTGTAGCCACTGATTTAAGCATATATTATGCATTCTGTCAAAGACACTTACTAAAATGTGAAGTTATCTGTGTGAAAGTTGAAGTCGAACCAGAAGTCACTCTTTCAACCACATAACGATCCTGAGCACAATAGAAACACCACCAAGGAATGGCTCAAAGCAAGTAAATTGAGGGTTATGGAATGGCTGATTCGAAGCCCAGATTCAAAGCAGATTGAAACATTGAAGAAAGCAGTGTGTGCATGAAAACTCTCAAACATTTTGCAAGTGAAAGTATTTGCCCTTTTGAACAGCTAAAAGAAGCCATCTATGCTGTCGGGATGACTAATAGCTTGTGAACACAGTTTTGTTTTTTTTTGTTTTTTTCCTCAGAAAATCTCTACATGTTGATATTTCTATCAAATAAAATATAGAAAAAGCATGACTATTTTGACTATATTAAAGAGACTTTTTTGTCATTTTAAATCAGATTCATGGATATGAACCCAAACAACATTGAGCTCTGCACCACATTTAATAAGTTCCCCAGCAAAATGAGCTGAATAAACAATGAGCAGTTGTTAAGCTAGGGGAAAACAAACAAAGTGACAGGCATAGAGATTTCTGACATTAATAAGGTAAGACCTGAACCTTTAACAAAAGCTCCAGCAGACCAGCCACCTGTACAGCTCATACTGCAGAGGGTTAAATCTCCCCATGCCCTCGTGTTAGATCATAGGCTAATGACAATAATAAGAAGGGTTAAAAGAAAAGAAAAGAAAATGACTGTGTTTTAGGGCAGACTGCAGCCTTGCAGCAATTTTGCTTTTCCATTGAGGACCTGCCTCTAAATAGCCAGAGTGCCCGAGCCTTCAGGAGGCCAGCAGGGGCTCCTGCAGCCTGCCTGACTGACTGATCAACTGCAGTCCTCTTGTTTGAAATTAATAATATGGGGAAACTGATTGGCAGTCTCTGGTTAAAAATAGAAGCTCCTTGGTAACACGGATGGAGGGTGTGGGTTTTCCCTGTGGAGCGTTCAGCTTCATGCACAGAGCAACCACAGAGTTGTCTAATGCTCCCTTTGAACACTTCAGGTTATTTGGATTCTGCACTTCATATCTGGATTGACAAAAGAGAATTAAAAGAGGCGAAACAAAATGGGGAGCTCATCAGTTATTCATGAGCTTCTCCCATCCTCCGCCTCCTTCTGCTTCCCATCTTTTGAAGTTCATTCCTCTTTTTTAATTCTCACTTGGGACTTGTCTGTTTCCCTCTCTCTCCTTCTCCTCCCCCTTCTGTTTTGGATCTTCAGCGATCCCCTCCTCTAAAAACCTCGACCATGTGTAGAGACTGTGCTTCTCTCAATTCAAGCGATTTGTTTACCCCTGTGAGATGTTGGGTTTGTCGTCTCTTGTGACAGCCTCCCCTGGGATTAAGAAACTATAACCGATATTAGTCCTGATGCAAAAAGAGGAGTGATAACAATGAAACCATTCTGATTTTTACTTCCTCTTCCCCTTCTGTTTATTTATTTTTTACTTGTTCTGCAGATCACAAGGATCGGCCTGATTGTCCATAAAACCAAGGCGCAGGATTTCCAGGTTTTAGCGGGCTCGGCTGGGTTTTTAATGGCAGCCTATTGTGTGGGTAAGAAATCTAATACAAGGACTGCTGTTCCTCACAGAGATGCACTGGCACCATTTACTTGTTAAAGTGAAAATATAGGAAAAAAGTGGATTTTAGGTTCCTTTTTCCACAAGAACAAGTGTAAAAACACTAATAATAATAATCATTTATGAATATTTGTTTCTGATAAAAGATCATCTCTGCTTTCTGGCAGGATTTGACTACATCTCAGGCCACTTACACTTACTCTATATGTGTTTTTTTCTTTTTAGGACTGTTGCTATATCAGATTATTGGTATGTCGGTAAAAGTATCCATTTCTGAGATTTTGTTACAGCATATGAAATAATATTGTGTTACATAGGATGGTAGCATGTGTTAAGAAAGTGGTAGGAAAGATTTTTAGAAAATGAATTAAAAATGATTGAAGAGATGTGCGAAAAAGAACATTTCTCATCGTTTTATGTGTTTTTAACACATTTCATGTTTTTTTTAAAACCAGAATTATCTTCTCTACGACATCGTGACTCTTCTGTGGATGAAATTTGCCCATTGTGTTTTTCAGGGAAGAAAGTAATTTATATTTGTGAGAGACATATAAACCTGTCTCAGTCAGAGTTTTCTAGGTTTGTAGAGGCATAACCTCAAAAACACCGATAGATAGAACTTTATTAATCCCACAAGGGAAATTGTGCAGCAATTAGACCACACACTAATACAACGGGAGACAAATACAAAACAGTTAACCTATCCTTTTTAATAAGAATGAGCCAACACAAACAGACACTGAAAATACACAGAAGCTGCAACAATACAAAATCACTTGTGCATATTTTAGCTAGTACTTCAGTATTTAGCAGTAGCTATTTTTCATTTTGTCTCTCGCATCCATCTTCCCTTTGACCATGCATTACTCCAGGGACTTGTCTAACATATTGTGCAGAGAGGCAGGTAGGTACTGGATGCCTTGCAGAGTGAGCGGGAGAGAGGGCTATCAGCAGCATGCTGTACAAGTGTCTTTGAGGTGCACACTCACCCGCTACAGATGAGAGCATGAAGTCTACTGCATCATCAGATTAATGACTGATGTATGGATTCTCAGAGGTCCTTCCACTCATTCCTGCTTTTTAGAAATATGCTGCTCAAATTCAAGACAGATCAAAGGGAGCTCGCCCTGTCTCCCTGATTGTCCTGGAATTACAGTGCCGACGCCATACGTCCTAAACATGCTCATACAATAAATTCCTAAATCACACAGTAATGGCTTAAAATGGGATGTCCTTGTTATTTGTCCTTATTTAACACTTGTTATTGATTTCTAATTGATTTATTCTACTTTCCAGCTAGTACAGCTGCATTTTTCTGCCCTCCCTCAGCATACAGCTGCACAGCCACACAGAATTTGAATAGTTTGTGTCGATTACAACACAGGAAGATGTTTAAAACTGTTGTAAAGGACCATAAATAAGTGGTCAATAATGATTACGGCAAATCACAAAAATAAGATGAGATGCCATATCTGGAGCAACTTCCTGATAAGCAGGTCTGAGGCACACAAGCTCCTTACTACCACAGACCTGGAAAGAGGACGGGCAAACACAAATACACAACCACTCAAGCCCACAGAGAAAAGGAGGCTATCGCACAAAGGAAAGGGAGAGGAATGAGAGGCGAAGCTAGGTCTCTTAGAGCATCTGGATGCAACACATCTGACAGGCAGGGGAGAAAGGCTGCATGATTCATTATACGTGGCTTGCAAAAGTATTCGCTCCCCTTGAATTTTCCCACATTTTTTCACATTACAGCCACAAACATGAATCAATTTTATTGGAATTCCACGTGAAAG